ACTGATAAGGTTTGAATGTTTCGTGAATTACATGAATGGGCAAGATAAAGATAGCTGAATATGTTTCACTACCAACATTCTATGTCCTTTGTGGACATGCTTGTAAAGAGGACGCCAACGTTTAAAATTGAGGCTTATGTATGTCGGAAACTGACACACCCCAACCGGCACCTACAACCAGCATAATGTGTCTATCCTGGATTATTTAGGAACGCAGTGAAGAACGTGCGTTTGTGTGCCGAAGAAACTGGAACTAACACAATGGGCATAAACGCAGAAATCCATCTTCGCCAAGCGTTCCAAAAGAATGGTCAACCACCGTCTCAAAGTTGAAGATGGCCAATACATGTGAACCAATGCTACCGCTTATGCCCCAGGTATCTCAACGTATCACGAGGTACTTTGATAGCATGGAATTTAGAGTCCATCACAAGACTGGCAGAACATTTGCCGACATTTTAATTAAAAAGTACATGTCCATTTACCAGGAAAAGTATTCTGTGATGTATGCAAAGTTCAGGGCAGAGATTTTAACGAGGCATGTATTAAAAAGGTCAACCAGAAATTGAACATCACATGAAAATGCATTTTCTTGCAACCCACCCTTGGACAGGATGACAGTTCTGGAATTGCCCAACATGAAATTACGGAAGGGCAATCTTTCAGTCAGAACAATGTGTCTGCCACAGACAGAGACCAATCTAAACTAGGTCTGTTGATAAAGGAGTCCTTGCATAGAATGGCAATGAAAAGCCGGATGTGCAACGAATACATATTTTCTGTGGTTATTTTGTGAAAGCTGGGAAATGCTTAAAAAACCAACACGAAAAATCATGTTTACATAACGACGGTCAGATTGTTTTAATGAGATCTTCACCCTCTTTGTTGGATAACATTCTCGCCGGTCAGTTAAACAACATTTTGATTGCAAAGTATCGCTCATTTGTTGGGCATACGGGCCTTCAAACAGTCATTTGTACTTAGCTCAGTCGTGATGATGCTACAATCTATGTTTCGAAACACGTCGGCAAGAAACTATTATGCCATCTGGAGTGTTTGGTACCTCGAATCGTTGAAACGCCTATGTAAAATATTAAATTGATTTTAAGTCGTTGTTTGCGTTTACACCTTATGCTGAGTTTTAGTAAACCATCAAGTGGATTAAATCGACTTAAAGTTCTGAAGCGCAGGCATCAGACATGGTGGTACACCTCTGGCGTTCTGGAATGACAACACCGGAACGCCTTGAAGTCGCCATTATTCACGGGTCGCACCAGATACCTGTGATTTTTTGGGTAATTGCATCAAAGCACAGTGGGGTAGTAGAAGTCGAAGAATCCTTGCTCAAGAGAATGAGCAGTTAATCAGAAAAAGTTTACGCCCTGGTGAAGGTTTAAATCCTTATCATAATGTGCAAGATAACCTACTAGCCTATTGGGCCACTGCTGTAGCGTTTCTGTACAAAATTGCCAGGTTTTGAGTACCAATATTTTACGTTGAGAAATCTATCAGGAACTTCAAATCATACATAAATGCAATCCTTTATGCAGAGTAGAACTAAAATGAAAGTCATACTAATTATACTGTTTTAATAAGAATAAGCTAGGATTTCTTACCAAATTAAATTTTCGCTTAACCTTGATACTAAAATTGAGCTATAGAAATCTCATAGGCTGACTATATATATCAGCTGACTTATCGTTTTATGCACAGCAGACACTTTCTCGTTCAGAGGAAGAAAATAGGATATTTGACTTTGTGTTCTGAAACGGTTTAAGGTTATATTTAGGTATTGTTGACGATATTAGGCGAATTTCGAAAAATCTTATGTAGAGGTAACTTAGCATGAAGAATTTCAGAACCTAGTCACCAAAAGTAAGACAAATATTCCAAAATTTAATGTACGTCATGAAGAAAGTAAAACTACCTGTCAGTCTGAGGTTCAAAAAGGTGAAGAAAACGTTAAAGAACTCCCATAGTTAGGCTTGCTGGGGTGTCGTCAAGTTCAAGATTTATATGATGACAGTGATTTAGATAGAAAAACTTCAGACAGGAGGGCAGTAATCGACGCAGCATGATACTTAAGGCTAAATCAATTTTTCTTCGTAAAGTGATTAGGATCAAGACTGGTGAAAGTGATTAACCGTTCTGAACTGACTACACGACGCCATAAAAATAGTATATGCCTACTGCCATGCAAATTGTAGGCATAGCATGACTCCATCTGATTCCAAGATTCTCCGGAGAAAGCTGTAGCCTACTCATCACTACGTTTATCCCTAAAATGCTTATATGGACGCTATCGTTTTTGACCTTTAGTTGGCATCTAAAAATTTACTAACAAAATGCTGAAAAAATCTTGACATAAAGTGCATGAAATACTGCCGCACGATGACAAAGGAGAAGAGATTTCTAAACTTATAGCGTTAACTTTTCATTCTTTCTCTTTAGGACTGGAGTTTCGACATAAACGTCATTGGGATGAACTTTGTGTGCAGTACTATGCTGATACTTCAGCCAATTGCCTCTTTTTTCCTACTCTGTTGAGTCAGATTGCTTCCAATAATACCACGCACTGGTTACTTTTAAAGTGTTAGGACATTTTAACCGTATTGGAGACGCATTTGCTTATTCACTTTCTTCAGAATAATTTTTCTAAAAATGAAAAATCGTCAGGCATTTTACGGTTATCAAGGCTACTGCTTTGTTGGCACGGTTTGCTCTGAAGACAATAATAAAATTCGTTCTTTATGTTTCTGGACCGAAGCTTATGAATAATTGTTTACTTTTCGACCTCTAATCATGTAAGTTCATCGAAAGGCAACTTAAAC